TAAAATTTATTTAGTAGAAAAAGAATTTTATTTAGTGCAAATAAAATTATTATTTGACTAAGAAAAAAAATTTTTTTTTTTTGAAACAAATATTTAATTGTCTCTGAGATAAATAAATTTTTGTTTCAAAAAAAAAAAAAAAAAAAATTTTCTTAGTTAAATAATAATTTTATTTGCGTTAAATAAAATTTTTTTTTGTACTAAATACATTTTTTTATTCAAAAAAAAAGAAAAATTAAAAAGTTTTGAAATAAATAAATTTTTGTTTCAAATTTCTTGTCTTGAATTTACGTCAATATTCTTGGTTACAAAAGAAAATAATTTGAAACACAGAAAATTAAAAGGCATTAAAATAAGCTGCAACGCTTATTATTTTAATCCATTTTGGTATTAAAATAAGCAAAATTGGATTAAAATAATAAGCGTTGCAGCTTATTTTAATGCCTTTTAATTTTCTGTGAACTAAAAAAAAAATTATTACATAAAATAATAAACCCGCATGAATAATAAAAATTTTTAAATAAATTTTCTTTAAAAAAAATAAAAAAAAAATTATGAAAATTATATACAGAATACACTTTTTTTTCAATAAAAATCGAAAAACACATAAATTTCAAAAAAAAAAAAAAAAAACTCGAAAGTGGTCTTTTATATTCTCTTTTTTTTATGTGTCGTTTACTGGTTTATGCACCAGTTCCTTTTTTATTATTTGGAAATTTATAATCTGTTCTTTTTGAGAGAGAGAGAGAGAAAAAAAGAGAGAAGACAGGCGTAATCTGCAGGTAGAAGGTATAGGAACATCTGCTCCGAAATGGTAACCAGGGGCAGCTTCATCAGCGCACGTGTTCTCTAAGGCAGGTGGTTGCCGAAGTTAAGTGATCGGTGCCTTCACCCTCATATACTGAGATTTGAACAGAGCTCCAAAAAATATATAAGAGAGATCTTTGCCAAAAGACTACTATACAAAATAAAAAAAATAAAATAAAAAAATGAGACGCGCGTATATTTTCACGGGGGAGGGTTTACGACAGAAAAGAAAATATAAGCGCGGTACAAAATTTTTATATGAGGAACGAAGACAAGCGAATGAGCAGGTGATGTGGCTCGTGACCGGTTTCAAACTCCACTTTTTATGTATACAATATACATTAACCATTTTTTTTTTTTTTTTTTTTTTAATATATAAGACACAATCAGTTCTTGTACTGAATTTTTTTTTCTTTATTTAAAGAAATATATTTTAAGAGTGATATGTATAACAACAGGTGATCCCTTGACATTTTTTTTTTATAACAGTTAATTTTCTATCTCAAGTACGGCAATGATTTAACAATTATGATGTGTTAAATATTTTAATTTAATTTAATTAAAATTTCTATTATTGTGTTTTATTTCATTAACTAATTCTACACCCAGAGAAATGTTTTATTTCAACCAAATATAATATATAGTTAAATAAACGTATATTTATCTCATAACCTACTAGCCTATTTATTTGGCGTAAATAAAATTTTTTATTCAAATCAAATAAATATTTATTTAAAGTAAATAAAAATTAAAATTTATTTAAAGCAAATGAAAATTTATTTGAATCAAATAAATATTTATTTGATAATAGTAATATATGTGATGCGCCCTGAAGAAAGGGACCTTAGAAGCAAACGAATTATAGGTTATGTTTACGATTATTTTACCTTGATTAAAAGTTTCTTTTTATTTATATATAGAATAAAAATCAGTTTTTATTGATAATTTTCAATGTAATAAAAACTTAAATATCAATAATTTGTATTGAAAATTAATCCATGTATATTTTCACTTTGAAATTTTGAAACATAACCTATAATTTTTTGCTTCTAAGGTCCCTTTTTTCAGAGCGCGTTATTTATTATAAAATATTAAAAAAAAAAATTTTATATGCATAAGATGTCAATCTGATGGAATAATAGGAACATTCACCCCATGATTCATAATTTTTAATCGTAAAAAAAAATTGAGTTCAAAAGAGACATTCTAAAGCAGGGTTGAATATGTTGAAAAAGATTATTATTTCTTTTTTTTTCTCTCTCTCTTTTACTCTGGTAAATCAGATGCAATTCAAGTTCTTTTCGCCTCTTGCCACAGCAGCAACAGTTGGCAAGAAGAAAACATCTGTCGATCGAAACGCATGCGCATTACTCAGGTACGATCTCAGGGATTCTCAAAAATTTTACCTCAAATTATGGTTTTAGTTTTTCTTTTCTTTTTTGTTAATATACGGGTCAATTTTATATTCTTTCAAAAGATCAAAATATATACAAAAACAGAGAAAATTAAAAGGCATTAAAATAAGCTGCAACGCTTATTATTTTAATCCAATTTTGCTTATTTTAATCCATTTTGGTATTAAAATAAGTAAAATTGGATTAAAATAATAAGCGTTGCAGCTTATTTTAATGCCTTTTAATTTTTTGTGAAACAATAATCTTCTAATAACATTATTTACTTTAAACAAAAAAGAAAAAAAAAATTAGACATTCAGAGGCAAATAAATATTTATTTGTTACAAATAAATTTTATTTGATTTAAAGAAAATTTATTTATTACAAATAAATTTTCTGTGATTTAAATAAAAATTTTATTTTGGCTTAGAATATTTTTTTTCAAATTTAAAATTTATTTTTCTCGAGTTTACGAGTTTCTCTATATTAAATTATTATGGTCCATATAAATTGGTGTGTAAAACGATAATATTATATGAAAAAGCAAAGAAAATAAGAGAAAGTACCTCTCTTGCTTTCCAAAAAAAAAAAAAATTAAAATATAGAAAATTATTGACAATAATATTCGCACTAATATACAAAAATTGAAGAGTAATTTAAAAAACAGTATAATGGGATTTCTTTTTTCTGTAAAAAAAAAAAAATAAATAAATTTGTTTGATAGCCAACTTACATGAGGTATTCAAACTGTCGTGGTTTACAATTTCAATGTTGTGTGTGCGTGTCAAAAGTTAACTATGTAACAATATATATCTATATCCCATATACTAAATAAAAGTTCGTTGAATCGATTTCCAAGCAATTTGCATTTCTGGACTTTCTCTGTGTGTGTGTGTAATATCAAAAGTGGTCTGTCTGACTCACAAAAATTATATTCGTTTCTTTAGGTATATTATAAGGGTTCGCAACCCCCGTTATACCATTTAATTTTCTGTCAAAGTTTATCGTAATGTATAAATGAGACACATTTTGTTTTTTTTTCTATTTTAGTCACGATTTTATTTTTCACGTGAATTCCTATTACGAATATAAAAACTTTCTGACTCCCTCTATTTATTACAACAAATTTACGGACTGCAAATCGATTCTTGAAAAAAATTGAAACAAATTTAGTCTTTAAATATACGAATTAGTTGCAATAATAACTAATTATTAAATTAGTTTTAAACATACCCAATTAGGTTTCAATCAGTTATATAAAAATAACTACTTATAATTGAATTAGTTATTTTTATAATTAGGTTATTTTTTAATTAACTATTTTTATAACTAATTCAAACATAATTAGTTATAAAAATTACTAATTCAAATATTAATAACAATAACTAACTAAAACATACTTAGTTGATTTTATAATTGATTCAAACATAGATACTTTTAAAACTAATTATGTTTGAATTAATTTTTTTTATAACTATGTTTTAATTATTTATAAAAATAACTATAATTATATTTTCAATTAGTTATACAGAAATATAATCAACTATGTTTGAATCAATTATAAAAATAACTAGTACAAAAATAATTCGTTATTATTTTAAAACTAATTCAAACATAATTAGTTATAAAAATTACTAATTCAGACATTTATAAAAAATAACTAACTAAAATATAATTAGTTAATTTTATAATTAATTCAAACATAGTTGGTTATTTTTAGAATTAGTTATGTTTGAATTAATTATTTTTATGACTATGTTTGAATTATTTATAAAAATAACTATTTATTTATGAGATGATTAAAAAAATAACTAATTATTTTTGAATTAGTTATAAAAATAACTAATTATATTTTCAGTTAGTTATACAGAAATATAACTATCTTTGAACTAGATATTTTATTTAATTATTTATTTATTTATTTATTTAGAAAGTTAACGGGTCATATTTTAAGAACTAGTAATTTTTAAATTAATTAGAAAAATCATTAATTATTTTGGAATTAGTTATAAAAATAACTAATTATTTTTAAATTAGTTTAAAAAAAACCCCAATTATGTTTAATCAGTTATAAAAATTACTAATTTTGTTGGAATTAGTTATTTCTATAACTATGTTTGAATTATTTATAAAAATAACTAATTATTTATGAGATGATTAAAAAAATAACTAATTATTTATGAGTTAGTTATAAAAATAACTAATATTTTTTGAATTAGTTATAAAAATAACTAATTATTTTTGAGTTAGTTATAAAAATAACTAAATATTTTTGAATTAGTTATAAAAATAACTAATTATTTTTGAGTTAGTTATAAAAATAACAAATTTTTTTTTAATTAGTTATTAATTAGTTATTAACTAATTACTTCAGTAAAATCTTGTCGTTAGCAATTAATAAAAATTATACTAAATATTAGTGAAAAAAAATGACTAATTAGTAGAAAAAATTTGTTTTTTCCTTTTTCTTTAAATTTTTAAAATTTTTAATTTAAAACTTTAAAATTTTTAAATGGCTAATGTTTCTATAATAATATATACATTAAATCTCCAACTATTTCTTTGGGGTTTCTTTTTTTTTTTTGAGGTGTGTTTTGAGAATTTTGCGGTTTAGTTACGGTCACTCTGTTATTAGAGAAACAGAAATATCCTTTGCAAGGTGTATATTTTTTTGAGAAACACTGCTTATCTGTGCCGAATGCCACGCGACCAGGTCGTCCAGTTAAGCCGGGTGCCGGGTGTTGTTGAAATCAACGTGGTGGGGTTCCTTCGACCACTATTAGCAAACCTGATACCTCAGTCGTTTCTTGGCTCTCACTCCGTTGAGGCAGAGATTCAATTATTAATATTATAAAATATAAAATTTTCTCACAAAGATCATCAAAATTCTAAATAAAAAAAAAAAAAGAAACAAATTTTAGTGTTTCTGATAGTCATCAATTTTTTTTTTTAAATAATTTCGCAAAAGTTACTTGGATAAATAGTGTTATGTGCAAGCTTAGTATTTTTTTTGTAAATGGAGAAAAAAAAATGTTGACGACATCCGAGACATGATCATTATGTACTGGGTTCTGAAACTTGCTTCTGATATCAAGGGAGATCAAAGAAATTTGACACTGACATCTAATAACTTGGATGATTAACCTAAAACCCTTTGGGTAGAGTATCAGCTGACGATACACCTCATTTATTATTATATCTCAAAGCGAAGGGCATTAGAGATTAAGGGCTAATTAAATATTGGTAGAGGCAAAAGCTTTTTTTTTCTCAAAAATAAGGAAAAAAAAAATTGCACTTGAAAACAAAAAAGATTCCGAAGGGGTAAAAAAAAAAGAAGAAGATGGCGCCAAAGTAAAAGCATTTCAAGAATTTTTTCGGTTCTATTCAGTTTTTTTTTTTTTAATTCCATTATTTGAAACCAATTTTTCGATTTTTTGAAATTAATGTCTATTGGTTGGGAAAAATTGATCAAACAAAATTTATTGCAACGATTTTTGCAAATAATTCGAAAATCATGCTTTGCGGAACGTTCAATAAGAATAAAAGGAGACACGTGCTGGATGAATATAAACTGATCAGATCCAATGTTAAACCAAGAATGGTTTCTGGCAAGGATAATAATAGTTCAAGAAAGCTAATGAGAAATAAACTACACAAATCTAATAGTCAGCTCTTTCTCAAGGATCTTCTTCAAACGGTAAGCACTTTGGGAAATAATTTTATTTATTTTTATTCACTTTTATTTAGTTTCATTTAGGTATTTATATTTATTTTCATTTAGTTTTTTGTTTAAAAAAAAGGTTTTTTTTTATAACTGATTCAAAAACATAATTGGTTATTTTTAAAATACTAATTTTAAAATAATTAGTTATTAAAATAACTAGTTCAAATATAGATATAAAAAAAATTATTACGTTTGAATTAGTTATTTCTATAACTAATTATGTTTGAATTAGTTATTTTCATAATTAATTATGTTTAAATTAGTTATTTTTCTAACTGATTATATTTGAATTAGTTATTTTTCTAACTGATTATATTTGAATTAGTTAATTTTATAACTAATTATGTTTGAATTAGTTATTTTCACAGAAAATTAAAAGGCATTAAAATAAGCTGCAACGCTTATTATTTTAATCCAATTTTGCTTATTTTAATCCATTTTGGTATTAAAATAAGCAAAATTGGATTAAAATAATAAGCGTTGCAGCTTATTTTAATGCCTTTTAATTTTCTGTGTTCATAATTAATTATGTTTGGATTAGTTATTTTAATAACTAATTATGTTTCAATTATTTATAAAAATAACCAACTTTGCTCGAATCAATTATTAAAATAACTAATTATGTTTCAATTATTTATAAAAATAACCAACTTTGCTCGAATCAATTATTAAAATAACTAATTATGTTTCAATTATTTATAAAAATAACCAACTTTGTTCGAATCAATTATTAAAATAACTAATTATGTTTGAGTTAATTATTTTTAAAACTATTTTTGAATCAAAGAATTTATGAATTAATTATTGTCAGATTAGTTAGAAAAATAACGAATTATTTTTCGACTATTTAATTTGAATTAATTGATTAATTAATTAATTAATTAATTAAATTAATTAATTCAAACATAGTTGGGTATTTCTGTATAATAATTAATTATTTTTATAAATAATTTCATTGTTATAAAAATAATTAATTCAAACATAATTTATTATAAAAATAACTAACTATAATAATCAATTATAAAATTAACTAATTATGTAATTAATTATTAATTTTCTTTTTTTTTATTGCATTACGAATGGAAAAATCAACTAAAAAATGAGTTCGAAAATTTAATTTTACGAACTTGTCCGCAGTTAATTAAGTAGATTAAAAAATACTCGAATCCCGTTAGTTATAAGCAATCAAATTTTTCCACTTTTCTCGATGTGATTAAATTTCTCGATATACAGTAATGTGTGCTCCATTTTGTGCTTCAACTTTTTATAAAATTTTCTTTGTTGTTTTTGTTTTTTTTTTCATATGGTTCAAGGATCAAAGGTATAATTTTCTTTTTCATTTAGATAAATGAATTTATAGAGTAATTATTCTTCAATTTATCCTGCGATTATTATTTTTGTATTCCAATTTTTTTTTTTTTTTTTTTTTGTCAACAAAGTTTATATCGCACTAAACAGGAGTCGTGTTTGTGTCCTTATAAGGCGTCTTGGCGAAACCCTTTGTCGTGTCTTTTTCTTCTTCTCTTTTTTTCTCTCATTGCTGTTTCTTTATTTTCTATGGGTGTATATATCTTAGCGAGATATTCGACATTTGGGGTCAAGACACAACAACTATTTCGAAAAAAAAGATGATTGCAAATATTCTAGTGCGCGAGAAAAAGGATTTATATTGAAAACTCACTAATTATTTCTCTTTCTCTATAAAAATTACATGTATGTGTTGCAAAATCTTATAATGTCAAGAAAAAACGCAGCATCCAATATTAAATCCACCTTTAAGTATATTGCACAAGTTATTATTTCTGATAACTTGTTAGGTAATAACAAATAAGAATTATAAACTATAATTTATTTTCTATTTTTTTTTCTCAAAGGTGCAAAAATAAAAAATCTTTTTTTAAAATCAAAATTCATTTAGTTTTTATTTCTTGATATAATGGGGGAAAACTATTTTTTTAGTATATATTTTGTTTCTAATCTAATACCAAAACTTAAATTTTGATTATTATTTACGTTTTATATACTAGTACAAAAACTCCTTTTTGAAAAGAAAAGTTTTTCATTATATATATAAATATTTAGAGAGAGAAAAAAAAATTAGAATTTTGCTGAAGAGAGCAAAGGTAGCAAAAAATATTCTTTTTCCTCTTGCAGCAATTTGTATATGCACGACTTGTTCCAAGTTCTTCTTTTTGTCTCCTGTCCCCTTGTCTTTTCACGGACTCCAAGGGAATTCATTTTGCGGTATATTGTGTTCTTACAAATTCATACCATCTTAAAAACATCTAACTATACTGAAAATTTACTGTATAACAAATTCTAATTATAAAAAAAAAAATTGAAAAAAAGTAAAACAAAAAAGTATAACAAAAAAAAAATTCTAATATAATAAATACATCACTTAAATAATTTATTTGATCTTTGTAACGAGTTATTTTATCGAGGCCAACTTCGACACAATGTTTTCTGCACATTACAAGGTCTCGAAATAAATAATCATTCGAGGTACATATTGAAAGATGTCATTTGTCACGACACTTGTTTTAAAATGAGAGACACACTTTGTTTTAAAATATATATAAATTTTGTTAATTATTAAACGTCAACCCTTTTACCACCCTCCATATGATGTCATCGTCAGTAATTATCCTCAACTGTCTTTAAAGACACCGACATTTTTCTTAAAATCTCTCTCATTATAAAAAAAGTTTAAAAGAAACAGAAAATTAAAATTTAATTCAATTATTCATTATATATATATATTGTAAATATTCAGTAGTCCATTTCTGAATAGTATAAATCAAAGAAAACAATGTATGAAAATAAATCAGGGCACAAATACATAATATTTTCTTTATATGCATTATGGAAGAGATTTAATTTTTTTTTTTGTGATTCATGTCTCAGTCATTGACCCCCTTTCTTTTCTTCCTTCGGTTCTTGTATATATGTGCTTAATCTTAGTCTCCTCGTCTATCAGCATAATATACCGCATTATGCTGATGTTAACTCGAGATTTAAGACAAAAGAGGCGCCACTTCAATATCTACGTTCTCTATATATATATATATAACAAAATAACTACATTCAAATTTTCCAATAACAAAACATTTTCGCCCACTTTCTATAATAATATTTCCCGGATCTAAATAAGATTAAATAACGTTAAATTAAATATTAAATACTAAATTTTGGTGAAAATTTTATCAAAATATTTAAAATTAATATTGAAATTACTGTTTTTTTTTTTTAAATAACAAGTTGATACTTGAATTAGATATCAGTATTTGAATCAAATCATGTTTTGATGCAAAAATATTAGAACCAAATATATTTGAGTTAAATAAACGTATATTTTTGTCTTACAGCCTACTAGTCTATTTATTTGTCCTAAATAAAATTTTTTATTTAAATCAAATAAAAATTTATTCGAATCAAATATAAATTTATTCGAATCAAATAAATATAATTATTAGGCTGTGGGACAAATATATCATTTCTCTGGATATAGAAAATATTTTCTATATCGATGTCAATTTAAAAACTTTCAGGTTGCACTATTTTTCTTATTTAAAAAAGCAAGATTGTGTACTAAGATGTTTAGCAAAAAAAAAAAAAAAAAAAAAAATGCGAAATATTACGATCGTAAGACCGGATAACGTTTATAGTAATTGGCATTCCTTCTATAATAAATTCAAAAGACTTATATATATATATACTATATATAATCGTTGTTGTATATATTTGTAATATATGCAGTATATATATAGTGTGCAAAATGCAATTGTTGCTTCAGTGTTGATAGAATGCGTTCACACATTTTGCTTATGTTCATATAACATTGTCTATATAAGAACGATGCTCTCAAATTATGCCATATATATTTCCAGGAAATTATTTATACGCAACTTAATTCCTAAAATATTATTTTCAACAGTGACAAAAAAAAAAAAATTATTCTAAAATTTTGTTTCCACACTGAACAAAATTTATTTTATTCAAATAAATTTTTATTTAATTTAAATAAAAAATTTTATTTACGCCAAATAAATGGGCTAGTAGGAAATAGTATTTAACTCAAATATATATAATATTTGATTCAAATATAAAAATTTCTCTTGGTGGAGGTCTTGCATATTATCAAATAAATATTTATTTGTATTAAATAATTACATTATTGAAATTAATTAAATGGTATTTGTTTCAAATATAAAAATTATTGATTCAAATACTGTTTATTTAATTCAAATATATTATTAGTTAGTATAAATATTTATTTGATATTTGATTTATATACATGCACACTATATTTGTATATATATATATATATATATATATATAAATGAAAATCGTTATCTCAAATAAGTGAAGGTATAATCTCATATTATATATTTACCGCGTTGCGTGTTGGATTTCCTTTATATATATATGATTTATTGCAATTTTAAATTTCTTTTAATTACTGTCAGCTTATAGAGATACATACTGCTGCCTGTTTTTGCATCTTCTTTATATATATATATACATATTGATAAACTAACTTAAAAAAATATGCGTATTAAATTGGCGCCAAGTTTGTGACATGAATCTGGAGCGAGATTAATTTCCCCACGCGCACTATATTCAAATACTTGAGTTGAGTCAAATAAGTGTGTCCATCGTGCAGAAGCAATAAAATTTGCAATTTACGATTGGCAATATCAAGTGTCGTAGTGACAAATAACTATAACGAGATATATGTATATATATATATATACGAGTATAACAACAACACACTAAACGTGATTGGCTGAAAGACTGGTTTTGTGATCACTAAAATTTCTCTCATCACAAAACCGCTTTTGATATACCATAGTAAAAATCATCAACTTCTTTAATTAGAATAAGGTTTGCTTTTATTTTTACTTCGTCAATAATTGTGGGAATTTTGAAATCCGCACCCGTAATTTGAATTGTTAATTAAAATTAAGAAT